TAAAAAAAATTGGCAAACCCTGAGCCAGCCTAAATAAATAACAAACCCACCCACCAACAAACAACAAAGAAGCCTCAAGAAATGAAAATAGAAATGAAAGGTAAGACATTACCCCTGATACTATGAACCACAAAGCATCAAAAGAGATGTTGATGTCAGGAGATGACATGATGCTCCACAAAGAAATTTGTAAACTTACCATATGAGCTTCTGAAATTAATAAACAAATTCAGAGCCCTGACCAGGTAGCTCTCCTATTGAGTGTGTGGTCCCCTGCATCGTGGTTGTGGGTTTGATCCCCCATCAGGGCACATGTAGGGGACAGCCAATAAACGCTAAGATAGGGAGAACAGCAGATCAATGTTTCCCTCTCTTTTTCTGTCTCCCTTCCTGTCTCTAAAATAAAAAAATAAAGGCTGCCCAGTGTGCCTCAGTGATTAAGCATCAACCCATGACCTACGAGATCACAATTCCATTCCTTGTCAGGGGACATGCACAGGTTGCCGGCCAGATCTCCAATGGGGGGTGTGCAGGAAGCAGCTGGTCAATGACTTTCTCTCATTATTCATGTTTCTATCTCTCACTCCTCTTCCTCAATGAAATCATAAAATATATGTAAAAATAAATAAATAAATGAATAAATAAATAGCTCAGGCCTGTGTCAATCACCACTGAGAGTACCTGCCTGTACATTGTAAGGTCATGGGTCCGTTTCCCAGTAAGGGGCACGTATGTGGGTTTCAGGTTCACATGTGGGAGGCAACCAACTGATGTTTCTATCTCTCTCTCTCTCTCTCTCTCTCTCTGCCTCGCCCTTTCTCTCTCTGGAAAAAAAAAATCAATGGAAAAAATATTCTCACTACTCAGGTGAACATAAAAGTAGAATAAAGAATTGAATTCAGAAAAGTTACAGGAGAAGAGATCCCAGATGGTGGTGTAGGCAAAAGGCTATACTCGCTACCTCCCACAACCACATCAAAATTACAAGTAAAATACAAAACAACCATCAGCCAGAACTGCTAGAAAGCTGGCTGAATGTAAGTCTTATGACTAGAGAAGTAAAGTAGAAAGCTCACTGAGAATGGTAGGAGGTGCAGAGGCATGGAAAGTGCTGCTCCTGTACCCATGAGGGCCAATTTTTTAATTGGGAGGGAGACTGTCTCTGCAGAAGTCACCTGGAGAAACAAGAGGTCCAAGTCCCACACCAGACGCCCATCTCAGGGTCCCAGAGCTGGGGAAAGAAGTCCCTACTGGCAGCAAGAACTACAGGCTGTAAGAACCAGTGCAGATTGGGGCTCAGTGACACAGAGGCTACAGGATACTCAGCTGCTCCTCTTATAATACCAGCACCACCAACTGAACTTACAAGCTACCGCTTCCTGGGATATCCAGTGCCAGGGTTGGCTCAGTGGGGTCCCAGACACATATGAGGAGAAACTGGATTGACTGGAATCGGGGCAGGAACTCAAGAGCGGCTTTCTCCCAGATGGAGGTGCTCTCAGGGATCATTGTTCGTATGCTGAAACCTCCCCAGTCATAGGGCTGACTGGCAGCCATTTCTGTTTGCTCCACCCTAGTAATGCCCTGACACCTCATCCCATCCAATATACAACCCCACCCAAGCTCTGTGGAGCAGCTTTTGTATATGCATGGCCTGTCCTTACTCAGGCTAAAACCTGTCAAACAAGTTGCAGTTGGGTCAGGGAACCACAAACCTATCAATAAAAGGACTAAGACATGGTACCAGCACTAGCCTTCCTTGCTTCACAGCTGGGCCTCATGGGGGCACTTCCAAACCCTATACAAAGAGGAGAATCTGCAGATTTCTCTGTAGGTCCTGTTGGGTGGCCCCAGGCAGTGGCTGACTTTACACCTCCCTGGAGACCCAAGAGCCAGTATATCCAGTGGTCAGTGTCATACCATACCTGCTTACAACACTTCATATCCATAAGCGACACATTCAAGGGGCAGACTCACTGAGAACCAAAGCTCCACTGAAGCCATGCCTGTTCCAAAGGGGTGTCTCCTACACATAGCTCTCCCACTGTAGTCGCAATGGCCCCGATAGATGCTAAAATCCTCAGTAAAATTCTGGCAGATCAATTCCAGGATTATATTAGAAAGATCATACACCATGACCATGTGGGATTTATTCTGGGGATGCAAGGATGGTACAATATCCGCAAATCAATAAACATGATACATCACATAAACAAATTGAGAGACAAAAATCACATAGTCATAGCAATTGATGCAGAAAAGGCATTTGACAAAATCCAGCACCTTTCTTGATAAAAACTCTCAGCAAAGTGGGAGCACAGGGGTCATACCTCAACATAATAAAAGCCTTATATGACAAACCCATAGCCAACATCATACTCAGTGGAAAAACAGTAAAACCATTTTCCCTAAGAACAGGAACAAGACAGGGATGTCCACTTTCACCACTCCTGTTCGACATAGTACAGGAAGTGCTAGCCATACTGATCAGACAAGAAGAAATGAAAGGCAACCAGATTGGAAGAGAAGTAAAACTGTCATTATTCACAGATGACATGACATTGTACAAAGAAAACCGTTAAAGGCTCCATCAAAAAACTACTCAATATAATAAATGCATTCAGCAATGTAGCAGGATGCAAAATTTACACCCAGAAATCTATGGCTTTTTTATACACCAATAATGAACTCACAGGAAGAGAAACAAACAAATAACAACAACAAAAAACCACAATCTACCATTGCAACAAAAAAAATTAGGAGACCTAGGAATAAACTTAACTAAGAAGGTAACTGACCTGTACTCCAAAAGCTACAGAAAGTTGAAAGAAGAGATAGAAGAAGACATAAACAAATAGAAGAATATAACATGTTCAAAATGTGGCAGAATCAACATCAATAAAATGTCCACACTACCCAAAGCAATCTATAGATTCAATTCAATTCCCATTTAGATACCAAGGACATATTTCACAGACCTAGAACAAACTCTCCAAAAAATCATATGGAATAATAATTTAAAAAAACACGAAAAGTGCACCAATCTTGAGAAAGAAGAACAAAGTTGGAGGGATCACAATACCACATACCAAGCTATATTACAAAAATGCCTGGTACTGGCGCAACAACAGAAATATAGAACAATTCAACAGAACAGAGAACCCAGAAATCGACCTAAGCCATTATGCTCAATATTTGACAAAAAAAGGAAACAGCATACAATGGAATCAAGATAATCTCTTCAATAAATCGTGTTGGGAAAACTGCACGGAAACATGCAAAAAAAAAAAAAACAACAACAAAAAATAAAACTAGACCACCAACTTATACCATACGCAAAAATAAACTCAAAATGGATAAAGGACTTAAACGAAAGATGGGAAACCATACAAATCTTAAAAGAATCCACAGGCAGCAAAATATCAGACATATGTCCTAGCAATGTCTTTACCGATACAGCATATAGGGCAGTGCAAACTAAGGAAAAAATAAACAAATGGCACTTACATCAATATAAAAAACTTCTGCACAGCCAAAGAAACCATCAACAAAACAACAAGAAGCCGAAACCGGTTTGGCTCAGTGGATAGAGCGTCGGCCTGCGGACTGAAAGGTCCCGGGTTCGATTCCGGTCAAGGGCATGTACCTTGGTTGCGCACACATTCCCAGTGGGAGGTGTGCAGGAGGCAGCTGATCGATGTTTCTCTCTCATCGATGTTTCTAACTCTCTATCTCTCTCCCTTCCTCTCTGTAAAAAATCAATAAAATATATTTTAAAAAACACACACACACACAAAAAAACAAGAAAGCCCACTGCATGGGAGAACATATTTGCCAATGTTAAATCTGATAAGTGTTTACTCTCCAAAATTTACAGGGAAATCAGACCTCTTAACAAAAAGATAAAAAATCCAACCAAAACATAGGCAAAGGACTAAAATAGACACTTTGTGAAAGAGGACATACGGAAGGCCAAGAGACATATGAAAACATGCTCAAAGTCACTAATCATCTGAGAGATGCAAATCAAAACAACAATGAGATACGATCTCACACATATCAGAATGGCTATCATCAACAAATCAACAAAGGACAAGTGCTGGTGAGGATGTGGAGAAAAAGGAACCCTCCTGTACTGCTGGTGGGAATGCAGACTGGTGCAGCCACTGTGGAGAACAGTATGGAGTTTCCTCAAAAAATTAAAAATGGAGCTCCCATTTGACCCAGTAATCCCAATTCTAGGAAAATATCCCAAGAAATCAGAAACACCAATCAGAAGGGACATATGCACCCCTATGTTCATAGCAGCACAATTTACAATAGCTAATATTTTGGAAACAACCTAAGTGACCATCAGCAGATGAGTGCATTAAAAAACTGTGTTACACCTACACAATGGAATACTACGCTGCTATAAAAGAGAAAGACCTCTGACCATTTCCAACAGCATGGATGGACATAGAGAGCATTATACTAAGCTAAATAAGCCAGCCGGCAAAAGATAAATATCACATGATCTCACTCATTTGTGGTCAATGAAGGAAAGAGGAGACATATGTAATACAATATGTAATACTTTAAACAATAAAGAATTTTTAAAAAGAAATATGTTGGCCCTGACTGGTTTGGCTCAGTGGATAGAGCATCGGCCTGCGGACTGAAGGGTCCCAGGTTCGATTCCGGTCAAGGGCATATACCTTGGTTGCGGGCACATCCCCAATAGGGAGTGTGCAGGAGGCAGCTGATCAATGTTTCTCTCTCATTGATGTTTCTAACTCTCTATCCCTCTCCCTTTCTCCCTGTAAAAAATCAATAAAATATATTTTTAAAAAACCGAAAAAACAAGCAGTCCAGATTGCAACAAATAAAGGAAAAAAAGCTTCTTCACAGCACAAAGCAATAAACAAAATGAAAGGAAAGGCAATCTAGAAAATGGATGAAAATACTCGCATATAATATGAAAAAATTGCTTGGAGAGATTGTGTATTCCGTTCTGATCAGCACAATAAAGCAAATATTGGGATGAAGACAGAAATTCACACAAATAGTTGGAGTTCCAGGGAATAATAAAAGTATGTTAATATTATACTGCAGGCTAATAACAATGCATGACTCTGTCTCAAAAGCGAATGCTATATAACTTCATGAATAATACTTTATAGCTAAGCACAAGTAACAAGCATCTGAGCTTGCTAGAAACATGGTGGCCCTAGACCTGCTGAATGCAGGGTTGCCTAAAAACATGGACTTTGTAGAAAAACGGGTATGGGGGAGCAATATCTGCATCTGCAAAGCACAATTAAGCACATGCAAAAATATGTGTTCCTGTATGTCATAAGCAATTAATATATTAAATATACGAGGTAGTCAAAAGAATGTCTAACCAAAAAATAGTTATTAACCAGGATAAGGATATATAAACAATTCATCAAAAACAATGTACAAACGATGAACAAGAATGTAGTAAATGCTTTCCTCGCTGATCAAGGTGGAATCCCTCAGGCTTCCAACCACACTATCAACCACAAGTCCTTCCCTGTGAATTTAGTGCAGCGGGGAGTATTGGGACTTCAGGAATAGAAGGGAGCAGCAGAAACAGACCAACCCTCCCCAGGACAGCAACTACCCAGGAAACTGGAAAATCAAGCAGTACCACAGTCTACATGGGAGGACAGAGCACACCCTGGGGGATGAGTCCTGGGAAATCCCAAAGCCAAGTCCAGGTCACTAGTGAGAGTGAGGGTCTTACCCAGGGAGGACAGAAGTTCAAAGTTCTCCAGCATCACATTCAGATACAGCTGTCTCTGACCCTCATCAAGGAGGCTCCATTCCTCCCTGGAGAAGTACAGGGCAATGTCCTCAAAGGTCACGCCAACCTGTCAAAATCGAGACAATTGAACCCAGAGCTGTCTCTCTGAGAACCTGTCATTGTACTCCTTACACATCTCCCCCCTCAACCTCCTCCAGGGCACCCGGTTAGTAAGGACAAGAGGCCCTAATGGCAGTGCTGCCTGCTCTCTCATCACAATCCCATTACTCACTGTGATTGCCCTCAGCAGAGCAGCTGGGTCGGGTTGGAAGGATTGGGGGAGGGGAGGGTAGAGGGCAATGCCATTTAAGGTTTGGGCGATGCCTGCAGGGCCCCAGCCTTCCTGCCAGGCAACACCACTTCAGTCTCCTAGATCCTGCCTCCAAGACAAAACCAAGCATGGGTTTATGCTTCCCCTTTAAGTCCCCACAGTAGGCCCGGGGACCATCAGCTCACACTTCCTCCAGATGTGCTCACCACTGGGTAATGTTTATCCCCTTCCCAGGTTCACTCCCTCAGCTCTGCCCCCTTCCTGCTCCAATGCCACTGGATCTCCGTGGACTCACCCATGAACTTGGCATATGGCGTGTAGAGAGCTTGTAGTCCAGCCGGATCCAGGACCACCCCAGGCCCCTGATGGACCCACAGCCGGGAAAGCCCCGAATGAGGCTGTGCCGTCCTCCCTGCAGCCTCTGATCTTTCCGTCAATACTCACAGCCACATCCTCAGGGACCTTCACATGCAAGTCACCCCCGTCCTCTCTGCCCTGCACTTGCTGTGTCCTCAGCAGCCACAACACTCCTCTCTCCCCTCCGCCTTCCTCACGGTCCTCCACGCGGGACTGAGCTGCAGGACGGGACAGGCGCCCTCCCCAGGCTGTGGTGTCTGTGTGAGGAGGCGGTGAGGGCCTGGGGGACACAAACTCACCTCAGCCCGTCTCCTCAGCGGGGGCGCCGCCATTGCCCTGTGTGGGCTGAGCCGGGCGGGAGTAGAAGCCGCTGCAGGAATGGCGGTCCCTGTCCCGGGCCTGGCCTGGGTCCGGGCGGTGACTCCGAGCTTCAACCCACGTGGGAGCTGTGAGCACCACTGGAGGCTCCGACCATTGGCTGTGTGGCTGGGAGAACCACTCTCCAGCCTCCTCCACGGGGATGTGGACTAGGAAAACCTCACCGCCTCAGACAAAAACCTAAAAAGGCAAAATCTCGTCAAGAGGACTACCGGTCCCGCCCTACAGAAGCGGCCAAACGCAAATGCTTTCTCTGACTCTCCATTGGCTCAGCCCGATGACATTCCGTGCGTTGCCTTCTGGGTAATGTAGTTTCTCCGC